CAGCCACAGCTATAAACTGCCACCAGCCAGGGTGAACAACAGCCACAGCTATAAACTGCCACCAGCCAGGGTGAACAATAGCCATAGCTATAAACTGCTATTTAGTTCTGTTATATATTTATGTAACTGATAATATTGTGGAATATTTTCTGGGTTTACTTCAGAGTGAATCCTAACATCAGTATTGTAAATATAGAAATCCCTTTTGTTTTATTTTTATCAGTTCCACCAAAAATTGAGAATTCCGGAATACCGACGTTTATGTCTACAGTCAGTGGCCATCCCACTATTCTCGAATGTTTAACATCTGGTAAACTCTTCTCTTCTAAGCTGAACTTGGCCAACCTGGCTCATTAATTGGGGATGATCAAATTTACAATGTAATCGTAACAGCCCACGCATTTGTAATAATCTTCTTCATAGTTATACCTGTAATAATTGGAGGATTCGGAAACTGACTCATCCCTCTTACTGCCACCAGTCATGGTGAACAACAGCCACAGCTATAAACTGCCACTAGCCATGGTGAACAAGAGTCACAGCTATAAACTGCCACCAGCCATGGTGAACAACAGCCACAGCTATAAACTGCCACCAGCCATGGTGAACAACACCCACAGTTATAAACTGCCACCAGCCATGGTGAACAACAGCCACAGCTATAAACTGCCACCAGCCATGATGAACAACAGCCACAGCTATAAACTGCTACCAGCCATAGTGAACAACAGCCAAAGTTATAAACTGCCACCAGCTGCAGTGTTTTATAGTTTTTGTTTATAATTGTAATGAACGAAGATAAAAGATGAAATGTCAAATGTTACAATTTTTTTAAATTCTGAAGTTAGTTATTCTTTTACAAACAAATATGGCAAGTAATCATGAGTAGGTAATAAAAAAGTATTAAATAAATGTATATTTTTGTCTAACTACATTAACAGGAAAGTTACTCATGATTACTGTATTACCATAACAATAGCTTAGCTAAAATTTTCATACAACTTATATAAATAGGGTTTTCAACTTTTGTTTGATATAAATCAGTCTTTAACTCTATATAATGAGAACAAAGTGGATTATATTTTAATAAACTTTACCTAAGATTTTGCCAAAGATCTGAATAATCTTACTGTTAAATGTGATCATATGAAAATATTAAATATAAGAAACAGAAAGATGTTTTTTCAACATATTGTCAGCATACTTAATTCTAAACTCCACAGAGAGGAAGTACAAAATAAGTGCTTTTATATGACTAATAAAAAAAAAACTAAACAAAGTACAGTGACAATATTAAAAACTTGCTTTACAAAATAATAAACCATAAAAACTTCAAAATATCCAGTTTTCCAAAACCATTTAGTAATTTACATGGCTCCTTCTGAGATACAAACTAGTTCAAGTTTCTTAAATGTTTCAGGTTTGATTTCCACCTTTGCTCTCGACTAATTGTAAGCAACTATTAGCAAACTCTATGAAAATTGGTTCTTTCATGGCATCATCAATCAACTTCTCTGGATCACTGGAGGTGTCTAATACCAACAATATATCCTTCAAATGAGGGTTAGCCAGCTGGTTCCTTAACTCCTGGTCACACGCTGAAACACAAAGTACACAAGTAAAAACTATATAAACATGGTCTTGGTATATATATTTGTTTGATAATAAATAACTGGGTAGCTTGACCAAATTGTTGCTTAAATTAAAAATTGCAACTTGGTGGATAGATACTGACTATCCCAGTTAAACAGATACATGTATTTTACCATGACTTTGTAGGTAGATATTTACTGTCCAAGTTAAACAGATACATGTATTTTACCATGACTTTGTAGGTAGATATTGACTGTCCAAGTTAAACAGATACATGTATTTTACCATGACTTTGTAGGTAGATATTGACTGTCCAAGTTAAAAAGATACATGTAATTTATTAGATGATTAAAAACAAACAACTCGAGTTGAAGCTGGACATATTATTTAGAGTAAAACAAGTGCAAGTTGTGTTTTTGACACACCTATACCCCCACTAATTTTATATTGTATGCTTGTCTCCTAACTTTATTAGACTTGATCTTTGACACGTGACCTTCAAAAAGTTTATCAGGTTTAGAACTTTGTAAATAATACCTAATTTATAAATTTTGTCAAATTCCATCCATGCAGGCTTGAGGTTGGGACAGACAGGGGCAAAACCAATAGGCCTTGCTATACAAAGCAGTGAAGACATAAAAATAAATACAGTGGTCAATAATATTTGATGAAAACAACATCATAAAAGGACCAAAAGCCACTGTGGCTAATCAGACAGAAATTCTATAATCTCGCTGAAAATGGTGTAATCTTACATTTAAAATAAATGTACACAAACATCAGTATATTAGACTTAACTCAAAAGAAAGAAGATGCACAAAATCAATCCAGCTTTCTCCTTTAAAGTATTTAGCTAATCGCCTGATGGTATTGTTACTTTTAAGTTTTTTTTTCTGATTGTTGTTTAGTTGGTTGCATGGGTGATCAAATTTGCTGAATAACCTTTGGTCACCTTGCTCATGAATTTACTCAGAATATTATCTCTTGGAGTTCTGTAACAATTGCTTACCTAGTAACCTTAACTTTTCTAGAGGGACTGTGTCTTCAGTTTCAAATACATACTCTTCTTTTTGACTGGAAGAAGCTGAAACACAAACACATTCTAGTTATCATCACTGAATTCATTTAACTACTTCAGAAGCACACAAAATAGTGTCAATAAACAGCAAATTTAAATGTAAGAGAACTGTATAATAGCCTAGGCCCACCTCCCTCCACACTAAATGCATGAAGTCCTTGCACAGCACACTAGTGTTGTTCCAACCAAACTAGTGTGGGCACTTTTATTTCATTCCACAACTTTCAAATACTGAGAAGAATGCCTTAAACACTTGGAGTCATTAAATCACACTATAGGAACTTTTGTTGTCTAAAGCAGTGTTTCTCAACCACTGGTCCATGGGATTTCATGAAAACAAACAAAAGCTGATAGAATATTTAAATCATAAAGGGTTTTTGTTGTACTTGCATTTCAGTGATCTGTAATGGTTTAAGGAGACAGTGAGCAAATCCCTTAAGATGGAGAAATGCTGATCTAAAGGAAACATTAGGAAAGGAATTAATGACAATACTCATTACCAAGATTGGCTCAAGGCAGGTTCAAAGGCTTAAAGAACACACTACAAAATTTAGGCACAAGAAAATTGTGAAAAATTAATAAAAAATACTAACAAGCAAAGAGAAAAAGGATATTTGTGAGGAAAGCCTGTGTGCAGAAATTAAATTAATATCACACTGAATACCAGAAAATTCAACTTCAGAAGGTCATATTTTGTATGTAAAAAACAAATCAAAGAAACTTTTCCAAATACGTTTATTGTTCTAAGAATTATATTAACATTGTCCATTAGTGGCAAAAGATCATTTTCAAGACTAAAGTTGGTAAAAATATGTTCGTGTTGCACAATGGGATAAGAGAGGTTAAATGGCCATGTAATAATTTCTATAAAAAATTAGCTACAGAAATTAATATGGACAAATTATGGAAAAGTTTCCCATATTAAAAGCTCATAAAGTACAATTTTCTAAACTAATCTTCTATGTATTTTTCTACTACGTACCATTTTAATACTCTGTATTCTAATTTCTAAAAATTATTTACAATTTTGTAATGTATAGGAAAATAAAAATCTGAAAAATGGTGCATTTTTTCATTTTCGCACCTTTCAATTTTTTAATTTGAGCTGACACTGCTCATTACTTATTGATCACTTGAATAATGTGTGACAGTTTCAAAAATTAAAAATTTTGAACTTATCTACTTTATGTGAAATACAGTACAAAGGAAAATCAGTGCATTAATAATCATCTGGTATTCGATAATTATACGAATATGTTAAACATTCATAAAAAGAAATTTTATATGTTTTCAAAACGTTTTCAACATGTATGCCTACTTATCACAAATAAATAATTGTTTCAACTATTAAAAAATTACACTTTAATGCTTGTGAGACATGATATTCTAACAATTGTGAACATTTTTTTTTCAAAGTGTTGTTCTTAAACTTCTTATCTTCTTCCTCTTTCTATGAGGCTGAACAACATCCAAGCAATAATTTCAAGTAATTTAAAATAACATTTGGAAATCAAAATGTTTACCCTCTTCTTTTTTACATTCCTGTGCTGTAATTAAGTCTTTTCTTTGGCATCCTGCTTTACGGTGTTTTTTAAAACATTCAACACCACAACTGTCAAGAAAAAAACATGCATAAGAAAAGTTATGTTCATTTAAGACTTTCTTTTATATATATATTAATCTTATATCAAATTAATTAGTTATTCAGCCTAATAATTGTCTTCCAAAAATAATCATAACTAAATCTTACTCATGCATGAAAAGTTTTACATCTTTATTGACAAAATAAATATTATTCACTAAATCTACAAATCTACTTTTAAACTAATAAAACTAGCATGTAACGAAATACCATATGATTAATTTCTGCCATAAAACATCCCACTCTTTTTCTCTAGTTGAAAAATTATGTTGATGATTATTTACACAACATATAGTTAAAATGATTCCATTCATGAACATTTACACAACATATAGTTGAAAATGATTCCATTCATGAACATTTACACAAAATA